CTAAACCCTAAACCCTAAACCCTAAACCCTAAACCCTGAACCCTAAACCCTAAACCCTAAACCCTAAACCCTAAACCCTAAACCCTAAACCCTAAACCCTAAACCCTGAACCCTGAACCCTGAACCCTGAACCCTGAACCCTAAACCCTAAACCCTAAACCCTAAACCCTGAACCCAGCGGATGAAGTTTCATGCCTGATGTTCGAACCAGGCCGTTGCCTTTGTCATGGACCCCGCCACCGGCCAGGACGCCAAGCAGCATGCAGGGTTTAGGGCTGAGCCCTCAAACCCTAAACCCTAAACCCTAAACCCTAAACCCTAAACCCTAAACCCTAAACCCTAAACCCTAAACCCTAAACCCTAAACCCTAAACCCTAAACCCCAAACCCTAAACCCCAAACCCCAAACCCTAAACCCCAAACCCTAAACCCTAAACCCTGAAGGAGAAGCCCGTTCCCTTCAACGGCCTGGTGGCGGATGACTTCCGCCCCCCTGAGCTCTACGAAGAGCAGGATTGGGCTGGGCTGGTTTGGGGTTTAGGGTTTAGGGTTTAGGGTTTAGGGTTTAGGGTTTAGGGTTTAGGGTTTAGGGTTTAGGCTTTAGGGTTTAGGGTTTAGGGCTAAGGCTCTGGGGTTTAGGGAAAGTAGGAGTTACAGGCTACAGCATAGATTTCAATCTGCAATGCACTGAACCGTTACCTGCTGGTCCTTAGGAGGGAGTGAGGGAATGAGGTATCCGTATATACCCCTCAAGGGATTACGTAGCCTTCAAGGGCTCGGGTTTAGGGTTTAGGGTTTAGGGTTTAGGGTTAGTGTTTAGGGTTTAGGGTTTAGGGTTTAGGTTGTAGGGATTTAGGGTTGCCCAAACATCCGAAGGACTACCTGGCAAGCCGTGTTGACTCCTGGTGTCTGGGCTGGAACACCTTCTACCTGCTCACCGCGGCCGCTTCAGCTGATAAGGATTGAGAAATGGGGTGCTCGTGTTTTTTCAGGGTTGAGGGTTTAGGGTGTAGGGTTTAGGGTTTAGGGTTCAGGGTTTAGGGTGGAGGGTTGAGGGTCTAGGGTTTTTCTTGGTTGGTGTGGTGGTCTTCTGGGATGCAGGTTCCTTATAATTACATCTGGATGTCACTCCTTTTCTACAGCTGCCTGTTGAAATAACTGCTCCTACTTGGGGGAACTACCCTGAGGTCGTGCACGGGAGGCCAGGGGAGCTGTGATATATCTGCGTGTCTGTGTGTCTGTGTGCCTGTGTGCCCTTGTGTCTCTGTGTCTGTGTGTGTGCGTGTCATCCAAGCTCAGGGAACCCGGAACCCTAAGCCGAAGGGGTTTGGGGAGAGAACGGTTAGCATCTAGGGTTTCCGGGGCCAGCCCGTCGTCTCTACCGCATTTTTGAAAAGTGCTAGGGTTTAGAGTTTAGGGTATAGTGTTCAGGGTTTTAGAAGTCTTTGTTTGCTTCTGTTCTGATTCCGAACGCCGCTCGATTCTCTAAGCCCTAAACCCTAAGCCCTTTCCTCTCGGAGCCCCCACACCCTAAACCCTACAACCTAAACCCTAAACCCTACAATTTATAAACCCTAAACCCTAAACTCTACACCCAAACCCTGGGGCCCGAAACTCCAATCTCCGAGCTTCAAGCCACCCAACGTCCCAAAACCCAAAGGCCTAAACTCGATGGGGGGGGGGGGGGGGGGGGGGGGGGGGGTGGGCGGGGTGTAGGGTTTGGGGGTTTAGGGTTTAGGGTTTGAGGTTTCGGATTTAGGGTCTAGGGTTTGGGGTTTAGGGTTTAGGGTTTAGGGAACCTTCCAGCCCTAGGCGCCGCTCTTCAAAAGCTCCGCACGGGTCTTGGCCGGGAAGGGCTGTCCGGACGGTTAGGGTTTGTTCAGGGTTTAGGGTTTGGAGTTTAGGGCTTAGGGTTTGGGGTTTGGGGTTTGGGGTTCAGGGCTGGTAGCGATTTGGGTTTAGGTTCGCAGCCTCGTCCCCTAAATCCCAGCTGTTGGCGCCAGCCCTTGTCCCCCTGGTTCTTAGTAGGGAGTGAGGGAACTAGGGCCCTATATATACCCTTTCAGGGATTATATGGGGTACCTCATTCCCTCATTCCCTACGAAGAACCAGCCAGTTGTAAGTTTCGGCATCCGCACTTAGGGTTTTGCAGATGTTCAAGCCAACACCCGAAGCCATAAACTCTGAACCCCAACCCCAAAAGCCTGTACCCCAAGCCCTAGCCCTAAACCCTTAACCCAGTAACCCTGAGCCCTAAGCTCCAAGCTCCCAAACCCAAAGCTCAAAACCCAATCTTTGCAAATAATTTGCCCAAACCCCAAGACCCTAAACCCCAACCCTACCGGACCCTGAAGCCCTAACCCCCCCCCCCCCCCCAAGAAGTCCAAACCCCAAAGCCCCTGAACCCCTGAACACCCCTAAAGCCCGAAAACCAAACTCCCAACAGCCCAGGAGCCGGCTGTGGAGGATCCCGACTTCTTGCTGCCCCCTGGCCGAAATGACGGTTTCAAACCCTGGGGGTTTAGGAGCTCAGGGTGTAGGGGTTTAGGGGCTTCAGGGGATTAGGGGATTAGGGGTTTTAGGGGTTTTAGGGTTTAGGGGTTTAGGAGTTCAGGGTGTAGGGTTCAGGGTTGCGAGGATACCAAACCGTAGACTCGTAGAATTAGCTGGGGGGCTGTGTTTGTAGGGTTCTTGTTCATGGGCGGTAGCTAGGGAACCTGAGGGAAGCTTAGGGAGCCTTAGGGAGTAGTGGGGAGTACTAGGGAACCCTTGCAAGGGTTACTTTCCATTCCTGGAGACGTGCCGGAGCGACTGGTGGCCGTCACCTTGTGAGGCTACGTTTCCGCTCGAAAACGAAACTCACACATGATGTGGGCACCATCCCAGTAAGAGCGGTTCCACCGACTGCCTTCAAATGTACACCTGCTATGACAGATCTCTTGGGCATCGATGCTGCAGAGACGAACTCTGCAATGCTTCAACGAAGAAGGCATATAAATGCAACGAGGGCCACACTTGTTGCGGAAAGTGAAAGAACTGGCAAAGTTGGCTCTTCACTAACGCTTTTGATGCACAAAAGGCGACCTGCTACCTGTGGTATGCGAATCATCGCGCCGGTGAGCCCACCTCTCTGAAGAACCCTATACAGTACTCTCTGCATGATGGGCACTTTTGTGGTGCTCTTTTTATAATGTGGAGCCTTCTCGGTAGGATACCCCAAAAGGGACGAGACTTTGGCAAACTAGCGTAGAATTGTGGGGTTTAGGCCTCGGGGCGCCAAACCTCAAGGCCTCCAGGCCCCCCCAAGAAGACCCGAAACACGCTAAGAACCCTAAACTCTAAACCCAAACCCCAAACCCCAAACCCCAAACCCCAAACCCCAAACCCTAAACCCTAAACTTCGAAACCCTAACCCCCCTAAACCCCTAAACCCTTAAACCCACTAAACCTAAAGCCCCTACACCGCGGCGAAGGCAACCGCGGCGAAGGCGACCTCGAACCCTGAGCCCTCAACGCTAAACCGCCTAAACACCTTAAACCTCGAAATCCCAAACCCCTTCCTTAAACCTGTTAACCTTAAACTCCTAAGCCCTAAACCTCGAAACCCTACACCCCCTAAGCCCTAACCCCCAAACCCTAAACCTATAAACCCTAAAGCCCAAGCCCTAAACCCCCAACCCCCAAGCCCTAAACCCTAAACCCTGAACCCCAAACCCCAAAGCCTAAGCCCCAAGCCTTAAACCCCAAACCCTAAACCCCAAACCCTAAACCCTAAACCCCAAACCCCCAGCACGAAGCCCGAGGCTTCAGCAGGGCCGGATCTCCCAACTCTTCGAGGCCAAAGGGGCAGCTCGGCACCATTTGTTGCTGGGTTTAGGGTTTGGGGTTTAGGTTTAGGGTTTGGGGTTTAGGGTTTGGGGTTTGGGGTTTAGGGTGTAGGGTTTGGGGTTTGGGGTTTGGGGTTTGGGGTTTAGGGTTTAAGGTTTTGGGTTTGGGGTTTAGGGTTTAGGGTGTCGGGTGTAGTGTTGGTGGGTTTAGGGCTTAGGGCCCTGTAGGGGAGGTGGGGAGTGTTGGCGGGCATCGCTCAGCCTTCCTCCCGCGACTCCGGAGGGTGTGAGAAAGGCGGCGGCCTCCATTCAAGTTTGTTTCGTGCCTCCATCTACGCATCGAATCACGTTGTTCCCGCGGCACGGGGGTTTTCTCCCAAACGTGGTTTTTCCCTGTGCCCATGTGCAGCTGCGCGGGAGTTTCTGTAAGGTTCTTGCTCTTGATATAGCCATGACGGGCAGCTTTGGTGTTACCTTTGCTTAGAGCGGCAAGGGGAGGTTCTCAGTCCAATGAGATTCAAGAGCCTCCAAGCCCTAAAACGTTTTTTTAGCTCTACGGTTTCGGGCTTCTGGGCGAGCGGTTTGAGGTCTCCCGGATTTCTAGGGCTTTAGAACCCTAGCCCTAAACCCTAGCTCTAAACCCTGGTTTAACCTTCCCCCACAACCCTAAACCCTATACCCTAAACCCTAGACAGTGCCTGAGACCCCATGAATGCCGAAGCCCCCTACGTCAATGTGGTTGCAAAGGTCAGCAACCGCTTATCCTACGACGCGAAGGCTCTCGCGAAGGGGAGCATATGGTGTTCAGAGGGTTCGCAGCTAGGGTTTAGGGTTTGGGGTTTGGGGCTTGGGGTTTGGGGTTTGAAGTTTGGGGTTTGGGGTGTGGGATTTATCTCCCCCAAACCCCCCAAACACCCCCCAAACCCCCGTTCCCCCCCTTAACCTTACACCCTAAGCTACGGGGTCCTTAAAGGGGGTCATGCGGGGTAGGTACCTAAAACCTTTGGGAAGCTCAGGAATTGCGGGGAGCAATCGGGAACCTTGGGTTACATACCCCCCTCATAAGCCCTAAACCCGAAACCCTAAACCCTAAACCCTAAACCCTAAACCCTAAATCCTAAACCCTAAACCCTAAGCCCTAAACCCTAAAACCCCAAAACCCTAAACCCTGAACCCTAAACTCTCGCGGACCCTGTAACAACAGCCCTGGCAAGCTGGGAGGACTTCGTGACACAGCTGATGCACCGAGCCCCCGGGCTTCCAGAGTCTGAAGCCCTGAGCCCTAAACCCTAAACCCTAAACCCTAAACCCTAAACCCCAAACCCTAAACCCTAAACCCTAAAGCCTAAACCCTAAACCCTAACACCCAAAACCCAAATCCCTAAACCCTAAACCCTAAACCCTAAACCCTAAACCCTTACCCTAAACCCTAAACCCTAAACCCTAAACCCGAAGCCCCAAACCTAAGCCCCAAGCCCTGAACGCTAAACTCTAAATCCTGCCCACCAAACCCGAAATTGCATTTTGGGATCGAAGGGTCTGAGTGTGACTGAACCCTCAACCCTGAACCGGGAAGCTGCTTCAGGGCCTGGAGGGGCTCACAGGGGCTTGCGGGGGCTTTGCAGGGTTTATAGGGTTTGGAGCTTAGGAAGATACAAGAGGATTCAACAGACTTGGCACCCTTAGTAGATGCCCATATCCTGGCGGACGGCCAAGCCGAGATGTGTGGATTGGGCTCCGGGTTGGTAGGGTTTTGGGGTTTAGGGTTCAGGGTTTAGGGTTTAGGACTTAGGGTTTAGGGTTGCGGCCTACCTCCAGCTTATCCCTGAGGCCCAATCACCAACTGTTCTAGGGTTCTGACACTAAAGCACTAAACCCTAAACCCTAAACCCTAAACCCTAAACCCTAAACCCTAAACCCTAAACCCTAAACCCTAAACCCTAAACCCTAAACCCTAAACCCTAAACCCTAAACCCTAAACCCTAAACCCTAAACCCTAAACCCTAAACCCTAAACCCTAAACCCTAAACCCTAAACCCTAAACCCTAAACCCTAAACCCTAAACCCTAAACCCTAAACCCTAAACCCTAAACCCTAACCCTAAACCCTAAACCCTAAACCCTAAACCCTGAA